CCAGTCGCAGCCCACGTAAGTGACGATGGCGCTCACTCGGAAGAACAGGTGGAAGAAGGTGGCCAAGGGGTGCCTAGGAAAGAGCCCAGGAGGCCCTCACTCCATGGTGTCTGACTTCCCACGCTCTCCCTGGCACATTTCACACCACACTCGGCCGGGCTGCAGCTCCAGGGGCGGGTGGCGCTAAATTAGAAGGCCCTCGACAGTCAGCACTGCTCTCGATTTCCTCCCCTCTTGAAGAATCCCGTACTTTCCCCTCATTTGATGACAAACATCACTTGCCCTCTTTGAAACTGGGTCACCTTTGAAGTGAAGTGTGACCGTGGTCACTTGCTGCCTTCCCACCTAGCAGCAGCAGAGACTAGTTCCCTAAAGCAAAGGTTGGGCTGTTACCCAGTCGTGGAGCAGTGGGTCCACGTGCCGCTCATGGGTGCTGTCTCGAGTCATCGGGGAATGCATGTTCCTGGACAGAGGGAAATGAGAGTGATGTGCTAACGACAGGTCTAACTCGTGATTGCTCATGACGAGTGGGACTTAAATGATGAAATGGCGCCTAGGGGGAGACAGGTTTTGTTCACTGAGCCCCGAGGCACAAAAGAAGACACAGAACCAAGGGGGATGTGCTCATCCTACATCATATGCTTTAAAAGTGTATCTGGAAGATGAGAGACCTGAGGGTAACCAATAACGAGGGACACCCATTTGTCGGAGCAGATAGATAACAAATGCCTGTCGGGGCCAGGCAGGCGACAGCCGTGGGTGACATGGGCCAGGCAGAAAAGAAGACACTCATGGCTTTCTATTTATTTTGTTAGGAATCCACTTTGGATAGAGCTCAGGTAGAGAAAAACACTCAATCAAGATCAAGAAAGCAACAGTGCAGGGCCAGTGATGATGGCAATGAAAGCGCCATCCATTGCGAGGGAGGCAGGGGGCAGGCCTCCCTCCAGGGCAAGGGACTGTACTCTGCACATCTACCCTTGTACTGCCAGATTCAACATTTCACAAGAAGCTAGAAATCCAGACTTGGATGGCAAATAGGATTTTACGCGATGGCTTCTAATTCTGTTAATAAAATAATGCAGGCCACGTATCATCCTGGCCCGCCAGATGCCCGCTTGCAACATCTGGGATGACAGAGAGGCAGCCAGCACACCTGCAAGAGCATGAGCCTGCTGGGACTCCCCAAAAAGCAGCAGGGTCAGAGTAAGTCAACGAGGGGCTCCTAAAGAGTGGGGTGGTTTCACACTCCCAAGGGAACGTGGACGAAGATTCAGAAGCAGAGTTTATGACTTCTGCAAGTACTCCTGATGCTCCAGAGGAAGTTCCAGAGGAAGCAGGGGCCCGTGCCCAAACACCAGCCATGCGCCAGAACGTTTCTCATCTGTGCCTTTTCCACGCTGGGCTCTCCTGGCAGCCTGGGTGAAAGGCCGGCCTGGACAGAGTACCTGGCACTTTAGAATTAGACGTGATGCCCTGGCCAGGGTGGCTCAGTTGGTTGAAGCGTCATCCCATAAACCAAAAGGTCATGGGTTCGATTCCCAGTCAGGGCACATACCTAGGTTGCGGGTTTGATCCCTGGACGGGGCACATATGGGAGGAAACCCATCGATGCCTCTCTCTCAAATCAGAAAAACATCCTCAGGTGAGGATTGAAACAAACAAAAAAGAATTAGATGTGATCAAAAACATCCAAATCTGGACTGTTCCAGAAAACAAGACTTTTGGGAATCTATTATACCTTTTTGGCCTTTATCTTATTGAGGATTTTCAATAAACTGTCTCTATACAATTTTACCCCTTCACACTGAAGATAAATGAATCATCTTACCACACTGGAAAGTTCTTCGAAGGCAGAACCATGCTTTAGATACTTTTATATCCCCAACAGTACATGACTTTTAAGATTCTCAGCAAATATTTGTTGTATTGAAACTTGAAATCGAGTCCTTTAAAGGCACACTGGGACATCTGTCCTCTTTGTAGGACAATATAGACCTAAAAGATGTAAGAGAGACCCAAGTGTGCAGTAAAACCTGGAAGTTGGTGTATTTGAATAAATCCCCTGCCCACCACTTCTTTTTCTTTCTTTTTAGGCTGTGGTTTCCTGAAATAAAACACAGAAAAAATTCCAGTTGTTGGAAAGTTCTGCTTAGTTGGGAGGTATTATTATTGTCATTCAATCAAATTACTATTATTCGCACAACGCTCAAAGCAAGTAGAAAATGATGCCCATTGCACTTTCAAATATTGCTTTAATCCTGTCTTATGCAGGCTGCTCTCTGGACAACCCTCCAAAGCCTCATGCAGTCTCTCTCTGGAATATGCCCAGCCTTTGCCCCCAGCTAGCGCTAATGTGGCCGCAGACCAGTTTTCTAGTTTTGCGAGTTTTCTAGTTTTGAGAGTTTTGAAGGCTATAGCTTAAGCCTGTCCATTCTTCCCTGCCATGGGGTCCTCCATCCTGCCAGCATTCTCTCCTGCCACCTCCGCAGCTGCAGAGCAAACACACACACCGACGCCACCTCCACCTCTCAGTGCCACTGGCTTCCACTTCCACCCTCCCAGGCACCCACCTGGTCGTCCCTTGAGAGGTGCCCAACTGCCAGGGTTCCAGTCCTGGCTCCAACCTCAGAGTCTAAGCTACATAACCCCTCAGCCTCAGTCTCTGCTTCTGTACAATGGGTGTGCGAGCAGCAGCCACTTCCTAGGATACCGAACAGATCAAGTGGAGCTGGCGAGTATGAAGTGCTAGAAACACAGGCCGTGCTCAGTAACTGCAAGCAGCTGTTGTTATCTCGGCCCTTGGAGTCACTCGAAACTGTTCCACCTCAAGGAGCCACACTGGAAAATTCCCCTTCTGACCACAACTTTCCCCCTCTCATTCCCCGGGGGCACTTTTCATCTCAGGATTCCCCCAAGACTCCAGATTCCATATTCCCCTGCCCCGATGCTTTTGCTGAAGAACCACCTTCATTCCTCAACTTTAATACGGAGAGTTTTCCACTGGGTCCCCAACGCCCCCTCCACCTGGCCCGTAGAAGCCTGTTCTCTCAGTAGAGGAGGTGGGAAGAATGACAGATGGTGAAAGGGGAAATGAGACCTTCATCACAGTGTTAAGGTGGGAAGAGGCTAAATGGGCTTTTGTTTACATTTAAAGCCATTTGTGGAGTTCTTGGTCCCAGGACACCTACTGTCTTCCTCCTTAGAAGGAAACACTGAGACGTCTCAACCTGGAAAGTGCATGAGAGTCTCCCAAGGGGCCTTCAAATGTGCACGCTCCTGTCCCACACACGCGGGCGCAGGCTGAGCGGGCCTGGACGGAACCTCACAAAGCTTTCAAAGCTCTGCTCTAAACTGGTTCGCAAATGCAGGCCCAGCGCCCCGTTGGGCTCACTTCCTATCTCCGTAACTAAAGTTTTATTGGAACGCAGCCATGCTCACTCCTTCGCTGAACTGCAAAGCTAAAATATTTGCCCAGAAAGTGTGCCAACCCCTGGTCCAGACCAGCAGGAACAATTTGGTGATGAAATCAGGCTCCACTCAAAACAAACCAAAAAGGAAACAAGCTGCTACTAACGGCCGCTTTTCCCCTAAAAAAATCTGCTTTCAATAGTGGCAGCGTGGGAGCCGCCTGACCAGCAGAACCAGCGATTATGCTGGAAGTCAGTAGCCATTTCTGGACAGTTGAGGGGCGGTGACGGGGAAGGTGCACAAGGAGCCTTCTGGGTGCTGAGATGGTCCACATCTTGATCATATGTGTACAGATTCATCAAACCGTATGCTTAAGATTCGTGTGCTTAACTGTAGAACACTACACCTCAATAAAAATATGTTTCTGATTGAAGCCACTGACCAAGGAAAAATGTTTGCAAGTCACACTAAACATTCTCCATGTGATACAGTCCAGCAAATGCACGCCCCAGGATTTACCCAAAGAAGTTGAAAACGTACGTCTGCACACAGATATTAGCACCTTTATTCATAATTGTCCAAAAGAGGAAGCAGCTAAGATGTCCTTTCATAGGTGAATGGATAAACTGTGGCACATCTACACAATGGAATGTTACTCAGCACTAAAAAGAAATGAGCCATCAAGCCAGGAGAAGTCATGGAGGAACCTTAAGTGCATATGACTAAGCTAAGGAAGCCAGTCTGGAAAGACTACACACTGTTTGATTCCAGCTATATGACATTCTGGAAAAGACTAACCTATGGAGACAGTAAAAAAGGTCAGTGGTTGCCAGGGGTTGAGGGAAGGAGATTGACTAAGTGGGACACAGAGGATTTGGGGGGCAATGAAACTAGTCTGTATGATACTATAATGGTGGACACATGTCATTATACATTTGTACATGCAGAGCATGAACCCTGATGTAAACTATGGACATTAGTTAATAATAATATATGGGTTCATCAATTGTAATTGAGCAAGATTTTTTCATAATAAGGGGAAATTTGGGGTGGAGAGAGGCTTGTGAGGACTGTATTTTTGCTCAATCCTATATAATAAAAGGGTAATATGCAAATAGACCAAACAACAGAACAACCGAACAACCAATTAAAGCGTAATATGCTAATGATATGCTAAGGCTGCTCAACCACTTGCTATGATGTGCACTGATGACCAGGGGGCAGACAGTCAGCTGGTCGACCAGTCGCTATAACGTGCACTAACCATATGTTCCAACCGGTATGTTAGCTTGCTGCTGGGGTCTGGTGTATTGGGACTGAGTGAGATGGGCCAGACACGCCTTGGAGTATGGTGGTGTCCCTCAGCCTGGCCTGTGCCCTCTCGCAATCTGGGACCCCTCGGGGAATGTCAGAGAGCTGGTTTCAGCCCAATCCCTCAGGCCACTCCCCTTGGGAGGGCGCCAGACACAGGGCTCATGGCTGGTGAGCCCTGCTGTGGCAGCGCGAGCCTCTCACAATCGGGACTGGGGTTTACTTTGCCACCACAAACAGAGCATCTGCGACGACATCTAGCATCTGCTTCAGAGTACTTCAGGGCGGGCAGTGGGTAGGTGAAGATGTAACAGGATGGCCACGTGCTGATCATGACTGAACCTGGGCAACCGGAACAACACGGTCATTGTTCTCTGTACTTTTATGTAAATTTGAATTAAAAAGTAGAAAAATAAACCATCAAGGCTGCCTCAACTTTGCACTGAGGCCAAACGCCTTTCGGACATCTTAGCTGCCAGGATGAGTGGGAGCAGCAGGTAGGAGCTGCAGGCAGCATTGGACTGCGAATTTCATCTCAATCCCTGCAGGCCACCCAGAGGGACCCCCCACCCCCCGCACGAAGTCATGCACCAGGCCTCTAGTTTTTCTATAAACCTAAAACCACTCTAAAAAAATGGATATGGGTCAGGGAGGGGTATTCTGTCTAGGCAGTACATGGCATAAATCAGGGAAGTGATGTCCCATAGACACATACCCCTTTCCCACAAACTTCTAAGTCACGTCTGATTTGGGGAAGGGGGGGCGGGGAGGCCGGCTGGTTAGATTAGCAGTAATCTAACAGTATCTTTAAAATTTGCCTTTTATTTAATTGTTTAACGGATAAGTAAACTGTACTCAATTCGAAAACTGGACGCTGATTTTGTTTTTGTAGTAAAGGTGGAAATTTATTCAAGAACAAGTACAGACTCCCATGTAGGGAGGGGGAAACAGTCCCCTGGATGCTCATTTTTAAGACTGTCTCTGGCTTGCATTCTTCATCCAATGTCCTATTTTAAATTCTTCATCATCGTTCAGGCACTCTGGAAAAGCTTTCTGCTTTTCCCTGCAGCAAAGGTCTGGGGTTTACTTTGCCACCACAAACAGAGAATCTGCGACGATATCTAGCATCTGCTTCAGAATAATTTGGGGCGTGGAGTGGGTGGGTGAAGATGAAACAGGATGGCCACGTGCTGATCATGACTGAACCTGGGCAACCGGAACAACACGGTCATTGTTCTCTGTACTTTTATGTAAATTTGAATTAAAAAGTAGAAGAATAAATCATCAAGGCAGCCTCAACTTTGCATTGAGGCCAAACGCCTTTCGGAATAAACCAAGCCCACGGGTTGATATTCTAGGGGCTCTGTGTGGTCAAAAAAATAAAATAAAAAAAATTCCAGACCTAAAATTCTCCAATTGAGTATATAGCCATTACAGTTGGATGCATGAGGAAAATTCCAGAAAGCAGGTCCTTTCTTCTGCACTTACCGGTCCCTCTGCAAAAAAAAGGGCCGCTGCTATATGGAGTACAAATGCCTATTTGCCCCCCACCCCAGTCCCCACCTGGACAGTGGGTACAGTGAAGGCCAGGGAGCCTAAATCCACATTTGAGCCCCATCCTTGCTGTGTAGCACCCTGGACAAGCTACTAAACTCAGATCCTCAGTTTGCTCACCTGCCAAATGGGAGACCATTTGCCTCAGATGTCTGAGGCTTCCAGGAGATAAAATGCCCAGGATGCCAGACCGGAGGGTGGTTGTGGCTAACAGTAATCTTCCTGTTTGACTCATTAACAATCAAGATTTTTGAGAACAGACAAAAGTGTGAAAAAACCCTTGATCAGTGATGTCAGACATGCTTTTCCCCATTGTTTAAAGTGAGGAGGGTGCTACTGTTTATTTCTTCAGCCCTGACACCCACTTGGAGTCCGGTGGCTCTACTGCTAGCAGCAGTATGCCACCGTGAAGATGTGGGCAGAAGGGGACTTCCAGAGTGAGAGGAAGACAGCTGGGATGGCATCTGCCTCCTTCAGCCATTCTCCATCTGGCAGCTTCCCGCGTGCCCTGGAGCTTGTTAGGAATGCAGGACCGGCGGCCCCACCCCAGACCTCCTGAGCCCAAATCTTCATCTTAACAAGACCCGAGGTCGGTGGTCGGCAAACTCATTAGTCAACAGAGCCAAATATCAACAGTACTTCTTCAAAATAGACTCGCCCAGGCCGAAAACCGACTTCTGCGCATGGGCCACGAAGTTTCAATCACATTGTACGTGCGTGCCCACACGTGGTATTTTGTGGAAGAGCCACACTCAAGGGGCCAAAGAGCCGCAGTTTGCCGACCACAGCCCTAGGTGATTCCTATGCTCATTAAAATCGATGAATCTTCCTCGGTTCCCTTTTCAAGATAAACCAGCTCCAGGAACAAAGCAGAAAGGGATGGAAGGGTCCCATGCCTGAAAAAGCAGAGACCCCTGCAAGCCTTCAGAAACCCCATGCTTCAAGGATGAAGCACTGGGTGGAATCTGACTTTTCTTCTCTAGAATGCTCCACAAGCAATGCTAGCACCATCATCCTTCAGACTCTGGCTTCCTGTATCAAACAATAGCACATCCTCCTCCTCCTCCAAAATCTGAGCCGGAGACTGCCAAGTTTTCCGACTGTTGGGATGTCTGAGTAGATGCTGATTGCTAAGTCCTCACAGCTTTGATTCAAAGGTCAGCACAACAGAGGTTTGAGTGTGGAAGTGAGTAAAAGAACAGACTTCCCTCTGGTGACCACTGTATTCCCTTTTGTTTCTGTTCTTTATTTCCTTTTAAAGAGACATCCCAACCTTAGAGGCTGAATATGCTCAGGCTGCAAAATGAAAGTGAACCCCAGGGACAAGTCAGTGGGCCGCTGGTCACGTCGCCCAGGCTGGACCCTGTGTGGAACCCTATCTCCTCTGCCCAGAGCACCTGGTGATCCCCACCCAGGCCATACCCTCCTGCTGCTGCTGGACTCAGGGACCAGATTCCTTAGCTAAAGACAGAGAGTTTTTGAGTACATGCTCAGAGTAGCACCATTTACAGTCACTGAAAGGTAGAAACAGCCCAAATGCTCATCAACAGGTTAGTGGATGAACAAGATGTAGCACATCCATACCATGGGATATTTTGCTATACTAGTGGCCCGGTGCATGAAATTCATGCACAGAGGTGGGGGGAGGGTGTCCCTCAGTGTGGGCTGCACCCTCTCCAATCTGGGACATCCCTCTTGCAATCCAGGACTGCTGGCTTCTAACCGCTCACCTGCCTGCCTGATCACCCCTAACCACTCTGCCTAAATGCCAGTGTGATAGCCCCCTTGGGAGACGTTTGAGAACCAAGGTTTGACTGTAGAGGATTTCAGTTTGGGGTGATCAAAAAAGTTCTGGAGATGGATGGTGGTGATGGTTATACCATAGTGTGAACATATTTAATGTCACTGAACAGTATACTTGAAAATGGTTAAAATGGTAAATTTGATGTTATGCATATTTAACCACGATTTTAAAACTTTGGAAAAGAAAAGGGAATGGGTGCATGCTACAACGGGAAGCTTGAAAACATCCTGCTAAGTGAATGAAGCCAGACACAAAAGGTCACATGCAGTGCATGCCTGCGCAGCCATATACACTGGTGACAGTGCCAATGGCATGGGCTTGCTGGGAAGATTACATGATAATGGGAGTGCATGTAGAAGGGCTTAGGACACTGCCTGGTGGGCACCAAGGGTTCCGTTAGTGCCAGCTAATTCATGGGAGTAACCATCCCACCACCTCCTTTTGTGTAAGGCAGTGCTCCACATGGGAATCACCTGGTCCAAGCATGTCAAACCAACCAGCCGCGAGTCTGACATGCTTGAGTCTCTTGTTGAATGAAGCTTCTGATTCAGGAGTTTTGGGGGCGGGGAGGGGGCTGAGAGTCTGCGTTTTAATGAGTCCCAGGAGATGTCTGCTGCTGGTCCAGAGACCAACCCCAGGGGAGAGAGGGAAGCTGTCACAGGCTGTGTGTTTCCCAGGCAACAGTAAAAAAGCACCACAAACTAGGTGACTTAAAACAACAGAACTTGCTCTCACAGTCTGGAGGCCAGCAGTCCAACATGACGTGTCAGTAGGGTTGGTTCCTTCTAAGGGCTGTGAGGGACCCTCTGGCCCAGGCCTCCCTCCTGACTTCCGATGACAGCTGGCACCCTTGCAGTCCACAGCTTGTAGCCGCATCGTTCCGATCTCTGCCCCCATTGTCCAATAGCCTTCTCCACCCCCCTGTCTTCTCATGGCTGTCTTTTTATAAGGATGCCAGCCATTTGGATTAGGGGCCCACCCTACTGCAGTATGACCTCATCCTAACTAATTATATCTGCCAAGACTCTGTTCCAAGTAAGGTCACATTTCAAGGTACTGGAGGCTAGGGCTTCAACATGCCTTTGGGGGAAGATGAGCCCGAGGAAGGGACATCTTTTCTAGTCGCAGGAAGTAAGACTAGTGGCTGCTCTGATAGCGAATCAGCACCAGAACCTGTCAACCCATAACACCTGCCTGGGGACAAAGGCACCCAAAGGAAAGAAGTGAGCTAAGAGGGGGATGGAGTGCTGCTCTGCAGAGGGCAGGTTGCTGGGAGAGGGGCAGTGAACTGCCCCAGGGTTGGTGCAGAGGCGCTTACGCAGGGGATGTGCTGCTGGCATCAGGCGCATGCGCTATCGGCCAGCTGCGGGTTCTGGAGAGAACCAACTCCCTGAGGAAGAGTCATCTTTTCTGGGTCGCAGAAAAGTATGAGCTCACAGCGGCTTTAATGGCAGAATCAGCACCAGAACCAAAGTCTTCACTCAGTCTCAGCCCAGAGTTTCCTGCAGATCAAGTTGGTGACAACAGTGACTTGGAAAAATACAAAGGGATGATCATCAGCCCTGCTTGATGCACTTCCTAGCCCTGCAGCCTAAGAGCTGACGCAGATGAGCCCCGGCTGGGGCTTCTAAACTCCATTCTCCAAAGGAGCCAGGGGTCCTTGGAGAAAAGGTGATGCCAGGGGCAGGTGGAGAGATGCATACGAGGAGGCTGGGCCCTCTACACACCCCAGGTAGCAAGGAAGCTGTCAGAGACACCAGGGTCGGGTCAGAAAGACTCAGGAGCCAACAGGAAGGGGCTCCCACTGGCCAGAGGTGCGACAATTTAAGCAGCAATAAGAATGTCTTATCCATGAGTCACGTGATTCTTTTTTAAATATATTGATTTCAGAGAGGGAGAGAGAAACATCAATGATGAGAGAGAATCATTGATTGGCTGCCTCCTGCATACCCCACACTGGGGATTGAGTCAGGAACCCCAGCATGTGCCCTGACCAGGAATCGAACCGTGACCTCCTGGTTCACAGGTCGACATTCAACCACTGAGCCAGGCTGGCTGGGCAGTCATGTGATTCTTAAACTAAACCCTCAGTGGTCAGCTGTAGGGGATGTTGGGGAATGATCTCATTACTTGAACAAAAATGAAGGATAAGAATCAAGTATCTATTATGCTATTTTTCTATGAAGTATGCCTTGTAATGACTATATATTTAAAGAAGGAGGGTTTCTCTTTCTAGATTTCTTCGGCTCACAGATAAAGACAGAATGATAGAATTAGAATGCCCCCATGATGCACCCCCCAATGTTAAAGAGTAGCAGCCGAGGACACCCAGGCATTAGGAGCTCCCTGATGGAAGAACACACTAGAACCACCCAGCCCAGCTGCTCCAAGACCCTGACCTTTAGGCTCAGTGGAGGTAAGAAATATTTTTTTTTATCTGAAGCCACTAAGTTTGAGGGGAATTTGTTATGCAGCAATAGCTAACTACTATAGGCTCTAATGCTGAGGACTTTTAACTGTGTAAAATCCACGTTCTATTTATTCAGGTGATTCCCAAGGGCGGGAAGGACAAGGAGATTGGGTTCCTCTAAGAATCAGGGAGGTAAAATGAAGAATCCCAGGCTTCCTTAAAGCTGGGGGAGGGAGGAGAGCATGAGGCCAGCTGCCGTTACACTCACCTCTTTTAAACAGGAGACTTGGGGTTACTAACTGAGGGAGAGACAGAGAGCAGACCAGCCAAGGACTGACCTTCCAGAAAGCCGGAGAGGAAGTCAGCCAGCAGGAAGGTGCGCAGAGCAGGTGACACCCTGGAGAGGCTGGAGGAGGTAAGGGACCTGGGTTCCTGCTCGTTTTCACCCGTGCTGTGAGTAGGGTGCTGGTTGTTTGTTTGCACTGGAAGTAAAAAGTAGAATTCACCCATTTATGTGCTTTTGTTTCTGAAGAGCTGCTAGAGTCTGCTAGAAAGTGGGCAGGATTTGAAGGCATCGAATATTAGCTCTCGTGTGAGCCTGGATCTGTTAGTTGGCTCTTGGGAGCTTCCGTTTCCTCATTTGCAAAATGGAGAGAATCCTTCCTTAAAGTGCATATTTTTTTTATACCATTTTGGGAATCAGGATACATCCACTAATGCAGCGGTTCTCAACCTGTGGGTCATGACCCCTTTGGGGGGCAAACGACCCTTTCACAGAAGTCGCCTAAGACCATCGGAAAACACATATATAATTACATATTGTTTTTGTGATTAATCACTATGCTTTAATGATGTTCAATTTGTAACAACGAAAATACATCCTGCATATCAGATATTTACATTATGATTTATAACAGTAGCAAAATTACAGTTATGAAGTAGCAATGAAAATAATTTTATGGTTGGGGGTCACCACAACATGAGGAACTGTATTAAAGAGTTGCGGCATTAGGAAGGTTGAGAACCACTGCACTAATGGTTGCAAATATTAATAAGGTATTTATTTTTACCTCCCAAAGCTATAACTGAACCAGTGCACTTTAAAACGATAGCACCTTAGGGACAAAGAGCCCAACTTACAAATTATTTAATGGGAGAACTGAGTGAACTCATATTAATTCATTCAGCAAATACTGATCACTACCACAGCCTGGGCTGTGGGACACCATTAAACTGGTGTCTTCATTTTTTCATAACAGTCTGTGACATTTTAAAAAACAGTTGTGCTTTCTGGTAACAAAAGGATGTTTCAAATCCAGCCGACTGGTTTCTGCCTCAAAACTTGGAACTGACTCTCTCAGGCATCATGGATTCTTCAGGTGGTAAAGAGAATCAAAGACCAAAATCCAGTTCAGTTGGTTAGGTGACATCCCATGCATCAAAAGGTTGCTGGTTTGATTCCTGGTCAGGGCATATGCCCAGGTTTTAGGCTCGACCCCCAGTAGGGGGTGTGCAAGAGGCAGCTGAACAATGTTTCGCTCTCACGTTGGTGTCTCCCTCTCCCTTCCTCTTTCTCTCTCTCTCTAAAAAATAAACATAAATAAATAACTAAAAGGCCAAAACCTGGGGGCTGAGATGCAGATAAGAAGTCGTGAAGGGCAAAAAAAAAAAAAAAGTGCCATTTCTGGGCTACCTTTTGAGTGACCGATCTGGGAAACAAATGTTCTTTTAGAACAGAACGTTATTTCTACAGTGTTTCTGCCCAAAATCACGACTGGGATCCAATCATGAGAAACATCAGACAGACCCAAGTTCAGGTACATGCCTCCAAACAGCTGGCAGCCACTCTTCAGAAACTGTTCATGTCGTAAAAGATAAAGAAAGGCTGGTAACTGCTCCAGATTGACTAATGGGCAATGGGCAAGCCTGGATTGGACCTTGAACTGGGGGAAAGGACACTGGACTATGAATTATGGATTAGCTATGTTTCCCAGTTTCCAGCATATTCTGCTTATGTAAGAGAATGCCTTGTCCTTGTAACACACAGGGAAATGTTTAGGGGTCGGGAAGCATGGTGTGTGCAAATTACTCTTAAACACTTCAGAAAACAAACACACACACACACACACACCAAAGTGTTAACACTTGTCAGGTTCTTGTACTGTTCTTGCTATTTTCTGGTAAGTCTGAAATTATTTCAAAGAAAAGAGGTGTTTTTTTAAAGACTTTGCAAAGACATTAATTCAAAATATTATTTTCCAACTGTACATATTTTGTTGCTGTATTTTACAGTTCTTTCGTCTGGGGTTCCATTAGCCACCAACACTCCCATCACACTGAAAGCAGAACATTTTATAATTGCCGTGCACGCGTACTTATTGTTTGCAGATGACTCTGGTAGTCAAAACAATGACTACCACGGAAATTGAAACTGTAGTTGAAAGTGTCTAAGGATATAGAACTGAATTTGTAATCAACACATAAATGTCTTCAGTTGATTTTCAAAATCGTTTAGGAAGTATGCAATTTTAATGAATCGAGCTTAACGCAGCAGCACTACATTAAAAAAAACACCCTAATATTTAACCAGGCACATGCTAGGTCCAAGTGCAGTGAACAAATGGACCCAATCCTGCCCTCACGGACATCACCAGTCTCTGGGGGAAGAAGGGGCAGAGAAGCAAACGGGCAATTTCAACTCAGTGTGAAAGTGTCACTAATGGGGTAAGAAGAGTCACCATCAGAATTTTCAACAACTCACACAGCATGGCCACTGTCCAATCAGAATGGTGGTGCAGCGTCCCACCAGCTGTCCATACTATTCCAAGTACTGTTCCAGGCGCCAACCCTTTAGTATGGGAGTCAGGCAGAGCACCTACATGGTTCTTGGTCATTTACTGAGATTTTAAGAAAACCCAAGATGTGGACACAAAAGTCAGTCCTCAGGCCTGGGGTCAGACATGGGGCTGCAGGGGCTGAGAGAAGGGGCACATGGCTCAGGATAGGGGGTGCTTCTTAGCATTGATGAGGATTAAGATCCAAAGGATATGGGATTCCTTCGGGAGGGGGTGATTAAAATGTTCTGGAATTGGACAGTGACCATCGTTGCATAACCTTTTGAATGTACTAAAAACCACTGAGTTGTACACTTCAAAGGGCTGACTTTTTTTTAATATAGGTATTTTATTGATTTTTTACAGAGAGGAAGGAAGAGGGATAGAGAGCTAGAAACATCGATCAGCTGCCTCCTGCACACCCCCCACTGGGGATGTGCCCATAACTAAGGTACATGCCCTTGACCGGAATCAAACCTGGGACCCTTCAGTCCACAGGCCGACACTCTATCCACTGAGCCAAACCAGTTAGGGCAAAGGGGTGACTTTTATGGTGTGTGGATTATATGTTAATTAAAAACATAAAGTTTTAAAGACATTTTAAGATCCAAGGGACAAATTTAGGCAGCAGAGAGCAAACGGCATACAAAGACTGGGGGATAAGCAGGAACATGGGGGCTCAGGGTAAGTAGCCTCGGATGGCCAGGCACAGCCTGACCCCCGAGGTCGGGCCCTCGCAGACAGGCCCCTCCATCCCTTGGCCACAGCTTCTGGAGGTCTGGGGAGAAAACCACGGCATTAGAGAGGAATTCCAACTCAAAGCCCCTCGTACCCCTTGAAAGTAGAGATGCTATCAATGGAGTAATATTTGCTCCTCACTGTCCTCAAGAAGTGGTGGTGGTGGTGGTGGGGGTGAGGGTATAAACTTAGGTGCTTACAGGGCCAACCTGAGTTGGTAAATAAGTCAACTGGGTGGGTGAGGGCTGGGGCTCACCCAGAAGGGGCATGCCTCACAACTCAACTCAGCCCATCCTCTCAACTCTAACGGCTTCTCAGAAGAAGTCAGCAATCCAGATTTTTAAAAATTATTTAATTGCATACTACTAAGTGGAAGAAGCCAGTCTGCAAAGGCTATATACTATATGATTCCAAATATATGGCATGCTGGAAAAGGCAAAACAAAGGAGACAGCGGATCCGTAGTTGCCAGGGGTTGGAGCGGTGGGGGAGTGAATAAATGGAGCACAGAGGATTCAGGGTGGAGGGAGAGAGGCACAATGGAAATAGTTTATATGATACTGTAATGGTAGGTGCATATCATTATATTTGTCCAAACTCATAGAATGCACACCACCAAGGGTGAACCCTAATGTAAACTATGGGCTTTGGTTGATTATGATGTGTCAATGTAGATTCATCAATTGTAGCAAATGTTTCATCTGGTGCAGATGTTGATAATGGGGGAGGCTATGTGTGGGAAGAGGCAGGAAGGTATACGGGAAATCTCTGTTCTTTCACCTTAATTTTGCTGTGAACCCAAAACTACTTAAAAAAGAAAGTTTAGAAAATAAAAATAATACAACAAAAAAATTTATTGAGCTGATATTCACACCACATAAATTAACCACTTTAAAGTGAACAATTCAGTGGCATTTAGTACTTCACAATGTTGTTCTAAAACATTTCCATCAGTCCAGAGTAAAACCCCTCACGCAGCTGCACTTTCTCCCCATTCTTCCCTCTGCAGCCCCTGAAAACCACCAGTCTGCCTTCTGTCTCTGTGCTGAGTCAGATTTCAAATGTGACCCATTCCAATTTTTAGATTTAAATTCACATTCATTTAAAATACTTCCCTGGACTAAGAGTATCTCTGAGGCTTAGCGTCAGTCAGCTGACTGTCCTTTTGCAGTTTCTATTCTAAAGTATTTTAAAATTCAGGGGACAGATCATCTGTATTGAGATGCAGAGAAAATATGAGGCTCTATTAATGTATTTGTGGCTATTTCTGAGTCATTCTGGAAGCCTCCTTGCTCCTGTGATGAGTGAGGAGTGAGTCATTGGCCATAGAACCCTCCCGGCTGAGCCCCTGTGAGCATTTCCTTGGGGCGGGCAAAGGGCCAGCCCTGGGCTTTTCCCCTTGGATTCCAACCGTGTTCATTGAGCTGGTCTTTACCAAGAGCGAGCATTCCTTATTTACCCAGAAATAACAGCCTGGAAAAATGTCCCAGGCCCCTGGGAGCAGGGCAGGATATCACAGCGGGAGCCTTTCACGCTCAACACCCGCTGAGTCCGCATGTTCCCTTAGAGAACCTCAAGTTCCCGGTTCTGGGGGGGGGGGGGGGGGGGGGGGGTGCTGACGAAGGTGAGACTTTCTGGGAATGCAGACCTGAGACCTGCATCTGGGACCCTCCTTCCACCACCTCTCTCCAACCTCAGCAGCCCCAGACGGGCCCCTGGAAGAATCTGGACAAAGGCCAGCATGAACCGAGTTCCCTTGGGCATCCCTGGGACACAACCAGTCCCACCCACCAGCATCTTTCACGCTTCATGGCCTCCTAGCGAAACTCACTGCTTCCTTTCTTGCCCGACAGGCCACATGGCAGTCACAGGCAGCTTTCTCAAGTGTCAATCAGATCCGACCATCCCCTGCTCATCTACAAAGATTGTCTGTCAAAAGCAGGCAAAATTCCAATGCTCTTCCTGTGGATCTTTCCATGCCTGGCCGCTCCAAATGCACCTCCTCAGGCCTCCTCTGAGCCCTCCATGACCTAAAGGAGCCCCCTGGCCCAGGACCCCTTTTCCTCACATTCCTCTTCATGGTACTTACCACTCTTTGATGTTACTTTGTTTAGATATTTACTTACTAGAGGCCTGATGCATGAAAATTCCCCCCAGCTGCCGGCACCCGCTTCCCTCCGGCCCAGGCTTTGTCCAGAATGACATGCGGAAGGATGTCCAGTCTAATGAGCATATTACCCTTTTATTATTATAGGTATGTTCACTGTCTTACCCCTAATCAAAATGTCAGCTCCAGGAGGGCAGGTGCCTCTGTGTCCCCTAGAACTGTGTTTGACACACAAAGGTCCTTGAACATTTTTGTTGATTCAATGAGTAAATGGGTGGGAAAAAGAACAAACCAGTGGTTCTCAAAAGGCAGCTGATTTGGGGCCTCCCCAGCAATGTTTGGAAACATTTTTGTTTGTCACAACTGGGGGGCTGCCACTAACATCTAGTGGGTGGAGGCAGGGGTGCTGCTAAACATCTTACAGGGCACAGCGCGGCCCTTGCAACAACGATGTGCAGTCCCAAACACCAGTGGCATCAACACTGGAGTAAATGAATGAATGAGTTAAATCTTTCAGTCAAGCTGTCCCATATCAAACATCAAAGAACTTGACCAATGTCCCCTTCTGATCACCAACTTCCCTAATTGTGTAAGTCACAGTTCACCAGAAATCTCTCTTCAGTGATTTGATTGTGGGACAGCATTCAATGTCATGTTAACAAGAAATATAAGTAAGAGGAAGCTAAGCAGCTGTAAATATAAGGAGTTAATTTCAAAATGTGTAATTCCGTGCCCTAATCAAAGAGAACTGAAATTTTTAGTTCCTTGATTTTATGGGTTCTTTTCCTTGGTAACCATAAACCTTCCTTAAAACTAAATAATCAGCTCTTGGTGAGACCTGCTTATGTGTCATATTTCTATATTTTTAAAGTAGATTTTTAGAATGGGAGGGGGCAGGATGACGTGTTCCCCAAAGCCAATGGGAACAGAGGGACCCCAGAGGGCAAGGGGTCCTCACTGATTGAGGCAAACAGACTTCCTGGAATCACAACAAAAAACAACCAAAATCTTCTCTTCAGTGTGTTGGAGCATGATGTCTGTATGTGTGCCTGTGTGTATGTGTGCCTGTGTGTGCCTGTGTGTGTGTCTGCGTGTGTCTGCGTCTGTGTGCCTATGTTGATTTCTGGGAATGATGGGCAGCCACTAATGTAACATCTGTACCATAACCTGTCCCCCCTCTCCTTCCTTGCCCCCCACCCCAGCAGCTTCCCTGGGTCAGTGTCAAACACAGAGGTGTCAGGAATGCAAGGAGTTCCTTTAAATACAAATTTAACTTATCCAAATCCACACCCTAGAGAAAGAGATAATAACCTAAGTCAGGGTTCTCAACCAGGGTCACTTTGCCCCTGGGAATATACCTCACCTCACAACTCTGGAAAGATGGGAGCAGTGCGGCTGGCACTGAGTGGGTGGAGACCAGGGATCTGGTGAAGCCCTGCAGGGCACAGGACGGCCCCACACAGAGAATTACTCAGCCCCAATATAAACAGAGCCAAGGCTTAGAAAGCCAGTTCTAAAAGGGGAGGGGGCGAGGCATAAGACTGAAGGCCTGGAAATGCTGCTCCCACTGCAGAGCTCATCCCCGTGTTGCTCCTCAGCACAATGTAATATGAGGTCAGACTCTATAGCAAGCGTGTCAAACTGGCGGCCCGCGGGCCACAAGCGGCCCACAACGAATATTTTTGCGGCCCAACCAATATAACAGTACGCAAGAAACGTTTTAATAAAAATTCATAACTTAATTTTTACAATATCCTGTTATACATAATTACTAATAACAAACTACAATGCTCGCTAATGACTGATTACTATAATTGTGTTGCATTCATTTCTCTTACACGACTTACGCACAGGCGCACCATTTCTCTCCACTAATATTAGCAGCAAATATTTTAGCAGCTGACTGCCACATCATTAATCTTGGATTGACCTGTTTGGTGTGCGTAACAGGAAATATTTCACTTTCAGAGAACAAGAAAAACAGATTTATTTGCATTACCCTCATTAACTTGTGCAGTTATTCAGTGTCTGGTAAGTTAATGTTCAAGAAAAAACACTAATTTTTATTAAAATATTCTATTATTTTATGTTAACATTACTCATTTATTTCAACCCTTTGTATTCAGCATGTCTCTATCGAAATAAACCTACGTTTCTTTGGTTTATTTGAAATTTGAAAATTGAAGCTTTTGGGTTTTTTTGTGGCCCACAGAAACTTAAACCTTGTTTATTTGGCCCGTCTTCACCTTTGAGTTTGACATGCTTACTCTAGAGAGCCTAACTCTCCATCCTGCCACTTAACAGCTGTGTGACATTTGGCAAGTCACTAACTCTTTCC